TTGTGTTCTTGATTATGACATTGATATTTTCACACACACGCAGATAGAGGTTGTGTTCTTGATTATGAATTTGATATGTTCACATACATGCAGATAGAGGTTGTGTTCTTGATTGTGACTTTGATATGTTCACATACATGCAGATAGAGGTTGTATTCTTGATTGTGACTTTGATATGTTCATATACACGCAGATAGAGGTTGTATTCTTGATTGTGACTTTGATATGGTCACATACATGCAGATAGAGGTTGTGTTCTTGATTGTGACTTTGATATGTTCACATACATGCAGATAGAGGTTGTGTTCTTGATTATGAATTTGATATGTTCATATACACGCAGATAGAGGTTGTGTTCTTGATTGTGACTTTGATATGTTCATATACACGCAGATATAGGTTGTGTTCTTGATTATTACATTGATATTTTCACACACACGCAGATAGAGGTTGTGTTCTTGATTATGAATTTGATATGTTCATATACACGCAGATAGAGGTTGTGTTCTTGATTGTGACTTTGATATGTTCACATACATGCAGATAGAGGTTGTGTTCTTGATTTTGACTTTGATATGTTCATATACATGCAGACGGAGGTCGTATTCTTGATTTTGATTTTTGAATTGTTCACATAACGCAGATGGAAGTTGCATTCATAGTGGATGAAGTTCAGACTGGATGCGGTGTGACTGGTAAATTTTGGGCTCATGAATGGTGGGATTTGCCAAGATCACCTGACCTTGTGACATTTAGTAAGAAAATGTTGACAGGAGGATACTATTATACTGATGAAATGACAGTCGATGCTGTAAGTATAAATCAATGACAAAAAAATCCTATTGTTCGTGAATGACATCAAAGATTATGTATTAATTATTTATGAAGTGTTTCGATTCACAGAAAAAAGGTAAACAACAATACAGAATGGTGATAGCGGTGACGACGTTGACTTTGTAAAAACTTTCTGTGGAGAATTGATTTCACAACAATTTACTTGCAACATTAATAATGACTACATCTTTAGCACGTGAATATGGCTTCCGTATCAGACTTTTATAACGTTCACGTCTTCTCCGTAATTTGTCTATTGTTTCATATTATTATGTCAATGGCTGATTGGCTGTTATTTTTGAAATATTTAACCAAACCTAATAAATCGGTATCTTTGCCATATTCTGTGTACTATACTGTATAATGTAATATATCATAATGTAACGTATCAAATAATGTATTTATTTAGCAACAATTTATCCTGCATTTATGGAACTTGATGAACACAACATCTTCAAATATGACAGTATTTTTGCTACATATCATTACAATATATTTAATAATACATATAAACTAATATTGCTACTTGGATTGAATTTATTTGTAGGGATTGCGAGTATTCAATACCTGGATGGGCGATCCGGGAAAGGTTATACTATTGGGGAAGGTTATAGAAACGATAAACAAAGACAAATTACTGAAGAATGTGCAGCAAACTGGAGAATATTTGCTGGAAAATATTCAAAAGTTACAGGTATAGAATCAACGATCTAATATTAAATCAATACACATTATCAATGAGGCACATTAACATATTGAATATTTTGGAATGGAGATTATGATTAGAACAGTTAAAGTAGCCGGAAATTTAAAAAGTTTTAAATAATTTCATCTGAATATTCATCGATTACAATTTTTAATTTAAAAGTGAGAAAATATTGAGTAACCAGTCAAGTAATTTGAGAATTACCGATGTTCATATTGATAACTGGATTTCTCAACACTAATTCTATATATTGCTACGCTACCCAACGTACATTGTTTATAAATTTTATAAAACTAAAAGTGTGACATGATGCAGATATATGATAGAGTTGTGGAACCTCAATGTTACATGTGTAGAATTCTCAATGAGCTTGGAGTTAAATAACAAACAACACAGTTGTACTGAATATTAAAGAAACAAGTTTCGAGGTATTTTGAAGGCTTTAATGCACCATCACTGGAAAACATTTGCATAGACGCATGACTACATTGTATCCACCACTCTTTGATATATTAAAAAATACATTTAAAAGCATGTATTTCCTGCGATAAAGCTTTATGGGCCTAAATTCAAGT